TGCATAGATAGAAGCTCAAAACCAAAATCACTCAAAATTTGACTTTTTGTGTAGGGTCATAAAAAATCAGAAACTTGCAACAAAAATCGGAGCAGTCGGTATTGTAGGTTCTTTCACCAGCTCTTTCTAACAGTGCAAAGTTTGCTTTGATTGAGCGTCTCCATGAAAAGTTATGATTTCCGAGCAAGCAACAAAAAAGGCGAATTTGATTTATTTTGGCATTTTTCAGGAAAATCATAACTTTTCATGGAGACGCTCAATCAGCGCAAACTTTGCACTGTTAGAAAGAACTGGTGAAAAAAACCTACAGTACCGACTGCTCCGATTTTTGTTGCAAGTCTCCGATTTCTTATGACCCTACACAGAAATTAACATTTTTACCATTTTTCTTCTATCGCTCCTATCTATGCAACAGATGACCATTACTGAGCAGCTGAGATGTAAATTATAAAGAGCATGACTTACCCTTTCACAAAAAAGTGAAAGCAGTCAAATCGGTTGGAAAAATCAGAAGTTATGAATTTTGAAATTCATGCGCAAAAACTTTCTGGACGACCTAATAAGAGCGAGGTGGAGCAAGTTAATAGTAAAAAATGTGCTGTGGATTGACATCGTCATCAGCACTGACGGGAACGTGAGCTAACGCATCTATTCAAGCGTGCTTATCGTTGTTGCATGTTTTTTTTTTATTAAAAAATGCTCTTTTCATTGACAGTTATGCTCACGCTCCCCCCATTCACGCTCAAAAAACTATGGGAGATTGGTAAATTTCCACACCTTCACACAAAAACCCGCTCACTTCTGGAATCTATACTCTGTAAACCTAGTGCTGAAGAAGGTCACTTTCATGAAAACGCTCTAGACTCACCTTACCTAATTTGTAGAGAATGGTTGGTTTCAATGAATCAAAAACTCTAGGACATTCAGAAGAATAACATGTTATTAAAAAAAACCCTTAATGTTTTTGGAAAGGTTGGCAGTTTAAAGAAACGGCAGGCAGAATACTTTACAAAATCGCGAATGACTCGCATGTGTCCCAGTTCAACAGCGAGGCAGAAGGTGAATCTTACGCCGACTAAAATGTTGTCGACATTGATACAGAATTGACAATTGAGGGAAACTCTCTGATTTCCTGCATAAGAAATCCAAGCAGATTGTCCAGTTTCAATGAGGAAATGTCCAGGAAGTCCATTGCTGATCTTCAGGTTGCTGAAGAATTCAAGGCTGCTAAATTCATAAACATGGATATGAACAAAAGGAAGATGTTAGTAAAAAGCATAGTTACTGCACTTAAATCCCGGCTGGAGTGCGAACCCGACTCTGTGCTTTATGCTTTTTGAAGTTATTCGCCTTGTGACATTATGACCTATGATATTGAAAAAAAACCAACGCGCAGCATAGTATCTACTTTTTTCGGCTATTCCGTATGCTGTTAAAAAAGAAGTTGAGCAGCTTTCTCGTCAGTTAGCAGGACGTATGCCAGAGGAGGTAAAGCCAAAGTTCGACAAGGCCCAAGTATGCACTATTTCCTTCTCGTGTTGCGAAAGCATATGCGATCTGGCTCTTTCCCCATTACTTACCGCAAAAATCTGATGGACTTACTAGCAAAGCTAGTTTCCATTCCGACTAGCACGGCAGAGGTGAAGAAAGAAATTTTCTATCTATTCTGTTATCAGAACACAACGCAAAAGTCGTACAACGATAGAGCATCTAAGCAAATACTTAAGATTTGTCAACCTTCTACTAAACACATTGTTATCTAAAATCTTTCAAAGGATTGGTGTAAGTGGTCCAGACATGCTGTTACCGTATGACATTTTGAAGTATCCTAAAAGATGGTAGAAACTAGTCACCTACCTGCTGACTTCCTGGTGCTACCAGAGGGCCAGGAAAAAAATCACAATAGTGCTTAGAAGAGAAGAAAGTTTCAAATCCATTTTCAACTTAGAACGCTTTTGCACGCAATTCTACTTCTACTCCGATGATCTTTTGGAGGAAGAAGAAAATTTTTCAGGCACCGAACTTGTTGTCTCTGAAGTTAGCGACAGTGATATTGTTGATGATGATGCGCAGGAAATGAAGTTGTTCCTAACTTGTACATCTTTTGGGATAAACCTTATTGCTTTGGTTTTTTGCTGATGCAGTGAAACAGGAGCACAGATCTTCATAATAAATTTTTTAAAATTTTTTAAATTTCTTTTGAAAACTTTTAAATTTTCTTTCAATTTGTGCCCAAAATAAGGTACAAATTAACGCTTTTCATACCACGCTTTCTTACCTTTTCTCTCTTCCTCCCCTCCCCTAGACTCACATACCCCCTTCACCCTGGAAGGTCGGGAACAGCCGAGACCCCCTTCACCTGGGGAGAGCCCGGCTCCCCCTATCGCACCTATGCTCATGAGGCCCGCCACCATACATCTTGTGCTAATCTGGATGGGCTTGCCTGGATGCTGCTTTAAGGGCCGCATGCACTAACATCCCCGCCGGGGAGGGGACGCAGGTCAAAGAAAAGCTTCATATCCTGAAGCTCCAGATACGGTGTCTACCCATCCGTAAGTATTCCCGCTATCCTTAACTATAAACTTAATGAAAAAGAAGCTGTACAAGTTGCATTTTCAGCTTTTTGTATGATCCCCTGATGTTCCCCAGCTGCCGACCGTCTTTTTTGAAATTATTTTTTTTTGAATCAATAAAAACATTCCATAGTTGTGCTATTTATCTAACCCGGTGCTAATCGTGTTTCTTGTAAAAACAAATGATGTTTCGCAGTCACGAAATTTGCGATGCTGGGGTTGAAAGTTGGGGTTGATCAAAATAATCGACTTAAAAACTCATTTGTTCTTATCAACAACATGCTTAGCACTGTTGGGCTAGATAATCAGTACAACTTTGAAAGGTTTTCGTTGAAGGCACCGTCCACCCTAAGTTGAGCTTTTGGCAGCATATAATAGTAGGGCCCCCTATCAATCCAATGCCCAAGTCGCGGCACAAAATGCCGCTTCGGAAGCGAGAAAATCGCTTATAGCGAAGATGCACGAGGACCCCATCCATGCCCGCCCATTTGTGCGCGCCCATCCAATCACCGTTCCGGAAAGCCGGTCTGTGGGTTCTCCAGAACGGGGATTGTTGGGGTTCCCGCGCACTATCGATTTTATATTCGGAATCAGGGACATGTGAAGGTCCTGAAACGACAAAAACATGGAAGTCGAAAATCTGGGTGGACGGTGCCTTTAACTTCGAAGAAAGAAAAATGATTTCGGAGAAAAGACCGTTGGCCGCCGGGGATCATCAGGAAATCGTACAAATGCTGGAAAATGCGGATTGTACAGATTCTTACTCTCGTTCAACATGTTCGTAATGAAGCATGATGGGAATACTCACGAATAGGCAGATGGTATGAAATCCACATGTAGGCTGCTGCATGACGAAGGCGCAACATCATTGGGCGCAAACGGGCTTCATTAGCCGCAGAGCACATGAGGTGAAGAATTAACAACGGTGAGGATACGTGCGCGTCATGTTCTCGCCCGCTCAACTGATACTGCTTCTGCGCCTTCGTCATGCAGTAGCATTTTTCTGAAGCTTGAGGATGTGAAGCTTTTTAACAAGCTGCGATCCCTCCCCAGCGGAGATGTTAGTACATGCGACCCTAAATCGAAAGCAAGCGGTGATCCGGTGATGTGGGATCCCCAGCGGATCACACGAAAGTCACGATGTACGTGCATACGGGCCTAAGTGGACACGCTGATGACGAAAACGGTTAAGTTTAGAAAAGCGGCATCTAGAACTGGTATAGGAATAAATGTTGTATGAAGTGAGGAAATGGCTTCATTATAGTGCATTGATAGACCCGGGCGAAGCCCTATATGCGAGCTGGTACTTTCATAAGAGAGAGTAGTTAAGATACTCAAGCGTATAGGAAGGTTCAATATCCACAACTCTGGAGCTTTCGAGTATTAAGCTTTTTTTCAATGGCGCCCCTCCCTGGAGGGGGGGGGGGGGAGCGTGAATGTTCATGCATGCGGCCCTTAGTGTGGCCATTCACCGTAATCAGTGCGACGCGCACACCAATGAGTGCTATTCTACCGTTGACGCTACTATACGCACTTCATCATACCACCCCATTCATTACTTTATCTCAACCCCCTAATACCTTAATTGCAAACTATGAAGTGCCTTCAGACTATGCATGTTGATTATCGTTCGGTATCGTTCCAGTTTCACTGAAGTATCCATTGGCTCGAGAGAAAACTGAGGGTTTTTCTGTCAAAACCTCGCTTTTGCCAGGAATGAGCATCACATGAGTTGGTCATTGGCTGAGCGAGCCCCATTTCGGCTGGTGCTTCATACGAGTTGTTTCCTTTTTTGGAGGTTTTTTTTGGTGCCAACCATCCATCCTTTGAGTATCAGATGACTTTCCACTGTGTTATTTCGTTGTCTACGGATAGGATACAACGGCTGTCCGATTTCAGCTATAGTACCATATCCGGATGCACTGTATTCGAAGATCTGATGGTGCATGATGCTAGTTTTTTATTTGCCAAGCAGTTTCATAAGGTACATCTACATCAACCTAAGCGAAACTAGTCATGCTTAATGGAAGATAATGAAAAATCAGCGATTTGGCAAGGGCACTATCCACGCGATTATCGATAGTACATGTGGGAAAGGTAGAGATAGTCTATGCATAAAAATACACATAATTATGATACAAACAACGCAATCGATAATGAAGAATCATCAAAGTGAAATTTGGTCTGAAAAATTGCTAAGCAGGTAGATGACATAGAAAGTAGTGAGTTTTTGTCATAAGACCGCTTTATTTTCAACAACATAGGGCGAACATTGAAAATTGTCATTCTATAGTGACATCATATATACCCGGGTAATCTTAGTGAATGAAATATGAATTTTCAGTCAAAACAACTCTGATTAGGTAATGGAGCTTGCTTTGCAACGTTACCTAGAAAGTCTCCAGGAAGTGCTGTGAGAATCGTCCGTCATGATAGAGTCGGGTCCAAAGAAATCATCAAATGCCCGAGGTCGATAAGGTTGATATCGCTTGTGGGAGAAAAGGCAGGGTCGCCGAGGTCATCGTCTAGCAGATTTGAGAAGGATGGATCCAGGGAAACAGGGAACGACTGAAAATATAGCTTCAGTGAAATTATCAAGTTATCTATTATATATTTCCGTTTTTTTTAAACAAAAATCTACAAAAGAAACTTTCTTGTTGTCTTTATCTACGAATCTTTGAGAAGTAGTCAAAACTTCTGCTATCACATATCAACTGACTAGCAGGCTTACCCGGCTCCGCCGTATCCGGACCAAACTTGGCACACATACACTTCGGGCCCCGGCGGGTGTCACAGTCCACTTTTCGTTATCGATCGATGTCGATTTTACCGATTTTTATCGATTTTTTTGCAGACTTCACCTACAGGGCTAGGAGTTGGCACAGGGGGGAAGTGAGCATGGGGATTCCGAATACAATATTAGTTTTCAGAATTATCGATTACTTTTATTGATTTTATCGATTTTTTGTAAATTTTGACATGCGAGGCTGGGATTTTGCACAGGGGGGTAATCGAGCATGCTGATTACGAACACAATATTAGTTTTCAGGATCGTCCATTACTTTTGTCGATTTTATCGATTTTTTTGTAAAGTTTGACCTGCGGGGCTGGGAGTTTGCACAGGGGGTAATCGAGCATGCAGATTACGAATACAATATTAGTTTTCAAGATCGTCCATTACTTTTATCGATTTTATCGATTTTTTGAAAATTTGAGCTAGGGGGCTGGAATTTGGCACAGGGGTGTAATCGAGCATGCTGATCACCCCCCTTGGGGATGATCAGCATGCTCGATTACACCCCTGTGCCAAATTCCAGCCCCCTAGCTCAAATTTTGCAAAAAAATCGATAAAATCGATAAAAGTAATCGATAATCCCGAAAACCAATATTGTATTCGGAATCCCCATGCTCGATTACCCCCCTGTGCGAACTCCCAGCCCCGTAGCTCAAACTTTGCAAAAAAATCGATAAAATCGATAAAAGTAATCGATAATCCTGAAAACCAATATTGTATTCGGAATCCCCATGCTCGATTACCCCCTGTGCAAACTCCCAGCCCCGCAGGTCAAACTTTACAAAAAAATCGATAAAATCGATAAAAGTAATGGACGATCCTGAAAACTAATATTGTATTCGGAATCCCCATGCTCGATTACCCCCCTGTGCGAACTCCCAGCCCCGTAGGTGAACTCAGCAAAAAAATCGATAAAAATCGATAAAATCGATATCGATCGATGACGAAAAGTAGCCTATGACACCCGCCGGGGCCCGAAGTGTATGTTTGCCAAGTTTGGTCCGGATCGGTTCAGAAATGGAATTTTCTATTCGGAACATACGTACACACAGACATACAGACATACATACAAACAGACATTCAGCTTTATATATAAGATGAGTATCTTCTAGTATTACTGAAGAACAACTATGCATAAAATGGGTAAACCCTAAAAGCTCAGTTATTCGAATTTCTAAGTTTAAATTTCATGCCGTGATTAATGTAGAGATGAGTACTTTGGTATTTGGATATGTATACTCCTGCTTTCTCTATTTAGCAGATATGATAGAATTTGTGATCTGTCATTTCAAACTCTGCCTGAAAGAACGAACTATTCTTACACCTTTTTCTTACACAACGGAAAACCGTGTAAAAATCTTTTCATTCTTTGCATTTTTCTTTTATAGAAAAATAAATTCTGTTCAAACAGTATTTACATTCCAGTTTATTGAAGTGCTCTTTCCTAAAATACCGAACGCTAGACAAAAATGTGTTCGCACTTGCAGGAGCCAAAGTGTGGCAAAAGTATTTGTCAACTAACTCATTAATTAGCATTTAAACGCTCAAAATCACAAGAACTTTTGAGAAGGTTTTTGAAAAATCAGCAGAGCGATTGGGTACAAAGACACCATGCCTGGAGTTTTTAAAAATTTTCTTAAAGTAGTTTTTGAGACAGCCACAGGCAAAAGCAAATAATTACATCAAATTTATTTTTAGTGTCTCTAAAATCGCTACCATTCTCGAAAAACATGAGCTTTCGACTTACATCGACAGAAGGAACGTAATCGCCACCGATAAGCGAATTCGACGTTCGTATCAGTGTTAGAGCATCAACGTTCTGAAGTTCTTCCGTTTGAATACAGGCATCTGACTTCCGCTGTTGTTGTGGTTGCTGGGGCTGCTGAGTCAGACGATTTCGCATCGATGACGCCAATGAAGGTGGATCCATACATGAGGAAGGAATCGACTAAAATCGGATATGATAATGGCCAGAATGCAATCAGGGAAAATTGCGAATGTAGCATTGAATAGAGATGTGTCAGATTGTAGAAATCGCGTGGTCTTCGATGGAGCAGAACTGAGAAAATGCAATATATTAGGTTGGTCCCAAAGTTCCTGCGCACCATTCTTCGAATAATTATAACTCTTTGCTGCAGGGATTTGCCAGTAATAAATTTTGTTTGAATGAAGAAATCATGTAGTTTCTAACTTGGATTAACTTGCCAAGGAAAGTTATCAACTGTGAAATTGCTTTCTGATGAAAACAAGTCGCAAAAATTAGAAATGCGAAAAGAAGATCATTTATATTTTGGTAGTTCTAAGCTCGCTGAAAAGACCATAACGGTTGTTTACCTAAACTCTGCGTTCATTTTTTGCTCTAGAAATCACTCATAACTCGGCGTTCAAAGGCGCTTGGCAGATAATGAAAACAGATTTGGAAGCAGCATTCAGTGCTCTTCAAAACATTTCAGGACTAGTTTGAAAAAGACGCTCTAACTGAAAGGACCTCCCTTGTAAGCTAATTTCGTGCTGAACGAATGTCCCTGTAATATGAATTTGAAGGGAAGGGTCCGTTTTTCACGGATATCGAAATGTTCACGATCAGCACGAATTCTGCTCAGCTATATAGAGGAGGACAAAAAAACCTATGTTTGTGACTATTTTGCTTTCCTCTATGACTTTCTCACATTCTTTTGAGCATGCTTGATAATAGCCAAACTTGAATAACTGCCTTCATTAGCTCGTAACTCTTGCATTTTCCCATACTAAATCACAGCGAAGCATAGGTGCGATAGGGGGAGCCGGGCTCTCCCCAGGTGAAGGGGGTCTCGGCTGTTTCCGACCTTTCAGGTGAAGGGGGTATGTGAGCCTGGGGGGGGGGGGGGAGAGAGAAAAGGTAAAAAAGCGTGGTATGAAGAACTCTAATTTGTACCTTATTTAGGTACAAATTGAAAAAATGTTTTCTAGAATTTTAGAAAAATAATATTAGGTTGAACCGGAAGTTCTTTCGCACCAAATCCAAAAATTCATAATCTCTGAATTTTCTAACCGATTGGACCGCTCTTGTTTCAATATGAAAGAGTAGGTCATGCTCTTTATAAAGACATCTTAATTGCTTACTAATGATCATCTATTGCACAGATAGGAGCGATAGAAGAAAATTGGTCAAAAATTGAATTTTTTGTGTAGGGTCATAAAAAATCGGAAACTTGCAGCAAAAATCGTAGCAGTCGATATTATAGGTTTTTTACCAGCTCTTTTAACTGTGCAAAGTTTGCGCCGATTGAACGATTGAACTTCTCTATGAAAAGTTACGATTTTTGAGCAAGCAACAAAAAGGATGATTTTGGTTCATTTTGGCATTTTTCAGGGAAATTGTAACTTTTCATAGAGACGCTCAATCGGCGCAAACTTTGCACTGTTAGAAAGAGCTGGTGAAAGAACCTACAATACCGACTGCTCCGATTTTTGTTGCAAGTTTTCGATTTTTTATGACCCTACATAGAAAATGAATTTTAACTAATTTTCTTATACAGCTCTTATCTACGCAATAGATCATTACCAAGCATCTAAGAATTCGTTATAAAGAGTATGACTCACTCTTTCAGAAAAAAAATAAGAGCGTTCCAGTAGGTTGGGAAATTCAGAAGTTATGAATTTTTGAATTTGGTGCGAAAGAACTTTCGCCTAATAAATCAAAAAAAATGACTTTATGAAGATCTATGCTCCTATTTCATTGCATCGACAAAAAACGAAAGCAATAAGGTATCCCAAAAGATGTACAAGTTAGGAACGCCTTACAATTCCTGCACGTCATCATCAACATTATCACTATCGCTAACGTCAACAAATTCGACAACAAATTCGCTGCCTGAAATATCTTCTTCTTCCTTCAAAAGATCATCGGAGTAGAAGTAGAATTGAGTCAAAAAGCGTTCTGAGTCGAAAATGGATTTGAAACGTTTTTCTTCTTCTAAGCGCTTTTGTGTCTTTTTCCTGGCCCTCTGGTAGCACCAGGAAATCAGCAAGTAGCTGACCAGTTTCTTCATACCATCTTTTAGGATATTTCAAAAAGTCATACGATGACAGCCTGTCTGGACCACTCATAGCAATCCTTTAAATGAAGTTTTTAGATACCAATATGTTCAGTAGAAGGTTGACAAATCTTAACTAATTGCTTAGATGCTCCACCGTTGTATGAGTTCTGCGTTGCGTTCTGATAACAGAGTAGATGGAAAATCCCCTCTCCACCTCTGCCGTGCTAGTCGGAATGGGAACTAGCTTTGCTAGTAAATCCATCAGATTCTTGCGGTAAGTAATGGAGAAAGAGCCAGATCGCATATGCTTTCGCAACACGGAAAGTAAATATTGCATACTTTTTGGGCCTTGTCGAATTCTGGCTTCACCTTCTCTGGCTTACGTCTTGTTGGCTGACGAGAAAGCTGCTCAACTTCTTCTTCAACAGCATCTCCGGAATAGCCGAAAAAAGTAGATACTATGCTGCGCGTTGGTTTTTTTTCAATATCATAGGTCGTATTGTCACAAGGCAAGATACTTCCAGCAGCATAGAGCACAGAGTTAAGTTCGTACTCCAGTCGGGATCTAAGAGCAGTAGCTAGAGTATGCTTTGTACTAACACCTTTTTTTTGTTCATATCCATGTTCGTGAATTTAGCAGCCTTGAAATCTTCAGCAACCTGGAGATCAGCAATGGACTTCTTGGACATTTCCTCATTGAGACTAGGCAATCTGCTTGGATTTCTGATATACGAAATAGAGAGTTTCGCTCAATTGTCAACTCTGTATCAATGTCGACAACATATTCGTCGGCGTAAGATTCTCCTTCTGCCTCGCTGTTGAACTGGAACACATGCGAGTCATCTGCGATTTTGTAAAGTATTCTGCCTGCCGTTTCCTCTTCCAATTGCCAACCTTTCCAAGACATTAAAGGATATTATAATAACATGTTGTTCTTCTGAATGCCTTAAAGTTTTTGATTTATTGAAACCAACCATTCTCTACAATTAGGTGAGTCTAGAGCGTTTTCACGCACGTGACCTTCTTCAGCACTAGTTTTACAGAGTATAGATTCCAGAAATGGGCGGGTTTTTGTGTGAAGGTGTGAAAATTCACCAATCTCCCATAGTTTTTTGAGTATGTGCTGATAATGATGGCACAACTGTCAATCAAAAGCGCATTCTTTACTTTAAAAAAAGCATAAACATTTAACAACGATAAGCACGCTTAAATAGACGCGTTCGCTCGCGTTCCCGTTAGTGCTGATAACGATGTCAATCCACAGCACATTTTTTACTATTAGCTTGCTCCACTAAGCTCCACCAATGTATTGGCTTTTATCGGTTACCGGAGCAAATGATTTTTAGAGCCGGGAAGCAAAGAAGCCCTAACATGCTGTATACCATCCGAAAGCTGAGATCATGGAGAATCGACGTAGACCGTCGACTTTTTAGGTCTTCTGTGTCGCGAGTGTACTCCAAAAACCAACTGCTTTTTTGTCCTCACTTTTTGCTCTCCAAATGAATGCTACGAGGATAAATAAATAATATATATAAACATAAATACCGTTTCTTTTATAAATTTATGAGTGTACTTGTTGTTTGAGGTACTTAGCCTGCAAAACCTTTTAATAACGATTTTTATCATATTCTCAGAGTACAATACCAATCTTAGCCCAGGTGAAGGGGGTCATCGGGAGTTTGGCCTCAAAGTGAAGGGGGTAAGATCCATCACTCCCCCTATCGCAACTATGCAGCGAAGGTACCACTGCAACGCGCAAAACTCTCTTCTTCTTCAAAAGAAAGATTTTTACAGAAATTCAAGATCTTGCTTGAGAATTCAAAAATTAGGTAGTTTTGTTTCCTTCGTTGTAACTCTTGCATTTACTCATACTAGTCAAACTGAATTTACTGCTGTAAAGAGCTCAGTCTGCGCTTTCAAATAAGGTTTTTTTCGAAGAAATCCATAAAGGCACAATTAAGTTATGCTTTCTTCATAATGCGCGAAAACATTCAGGCCAACTAATACTGTAAAATAAAATAAAATAATTGTGTTCGAGGAACTACATATGAAATGATTGAAACCCGTTCCAAATATGAGCTGTTGATGCAATATCTAACATTCTATTTTTATTATAAACAATTTTTTTGTGAATTGAAAAAAGTATGCAGTAGAGAACATTCCAATTTCTAATTCTCATTCTTGTCTGTCTCGCTCTTTATATTATGTCTAGCTTCGTATGCTTTCTTTGTTGTCTCTTGATCAAATTCAAAACTGTGTTAGAGCTTGACTCAAGAAAAATTTTGATGTGCCTTGTAGCCAGAAAACTTTTCTAACGTATGCGTCATTTCTAACAAGTGCTGTTCAGTAATTATTAAGCAAATTTGCAATTCTACAAGAGGTTTCAAGTATTATGTGAATCAAATAAATGTTTGAACAGCAATTATCGTTTATACTCAAAAGTTCAACAACTGAAGGCGACAGATATGTCGGAGACGCAGGAAATAAGTAGGATGCACTGAAGGACCAAAGGGAATTTACACTGAAGGACTTTTTAGTAAGGTCCAAATTTTGAGTCATTGCCAAAGTTCCAGTGACTAAGTATATGTTGTTTCTCTTTGAAATTTCAGCTATCGAATTTGCGGATACCTTTGCTGGATCACAAGCAGACCATATAGCGTTGCAACGACGAGATTTGCTGCTTATAACGGTGGCTAAAAAATTTTGACCTTATACAAGTACAATAACTTTTGAAAATTTTTTTGAAATTCACTTTCACAATTGAATTTATGATTTTGAGAAGCTTCCTGAATTTTTGCAAGCTTTCAAAGCTGGAATTTTGTTGGGAAAAGGACACGTGGCGGCAGCGACGCTTAGAAAATTTTTTTGCAAAGCGCAATCAATTCTTCAATAGTTCTCAAAAATTAATCTAATTATTTACCAGTAAGAATAATTCATCTGAACAAATTTATAACTTACTAGCTGGCAAAACCGGCTCCACCTGGCCTGTCAATGACATATTCGTAATCAGCATGCTTACTTACCCCCCCCCCTCTCGCGTGCCAACTCCCGGCCCCGTAGCTCCTTACACTTTGGAAAAGATCGATAAAATTGATATCGATCCATAACGAAAAGTAGCTTATGACACCAGCCCCACCCGAAGTGTGTGTTTGCCAAGTTCCGGGTCGGTCCAGAAATGAAGATTTTCTATTTGGAACATGCGTACACATATACAGACAGACAAACATAGAGACAAACAGGCTTTTAGCTTTATACAGGGTCTCCCATGTATACACTGTTTGATCATCAATATCTTTTCTCCCAAGAAGCTTTTTGCCTATCTTCAAATACCATTTTGTAGAGCTGGCTTCAACTTAGACTTACAGTATGAAGCAAACCACCGGTCGCTCTCCATTACTGTAGGATTATGGTAGCAACATCTGGCTTACAGCGTCATTGTGGATTAGTTGTTTCAAAATAAAGTTCCAAAAATTCTGAAAAAGTAGTGCATGCAGAAAAATTACGCTCCTTGATTTCATTATCCAACTTTTTAGGAGTTTGTAAAGCTTTTCAAATCGTGCACTAACAATTTTAGGGAGCATTGCAAAGACAGTAAGACAGCGGTTTACTTAGCATAAGTTATGAAGGAAGCTTTGCGGCAAAATGCAAAGCTCGTATTTGGTTTCAGCGATTCTAATTAGCCTAGTGTAAGAGTTTCTAGGTTGTTTGGTTTGCTTCCTGAAAAAAAACAGAGCCGTTATGGGCTCAAAACGCTTGTTGAAGTTCCCACCGTAATCTACGGTAATGAAGAAGGATCTATGATTCGCTCCAAACCGTAAATCTAAGTTGAAGTCAGCTCTACAATATGGTACCTGAAGTTAAGCAAAAGACTCTAAAGGAATAGAGATGTTAACGATCAAACAGTGTCTACATACTTTTGGGACACTCTGTATGACACGACACTCTGTATAGATATTATTATGCTGATGTTAGAAAATTTAAGACCCTCGTGTCCCTATCCATCCTCCCAGTTTTCCACTCCTTCAGTCTGTCACTCAAAATGCACGAACAACCCTCCTGCTGTAAAGTGTCGGTTTTAAAATTCCTTTGCAAGCAAAGGTGCGACCCTTTCGGGAATGTCTGGGATGCTCAAAAATAAAATTCATACCAGATCCCAATCCCATAATGATTATGACTCTGAATCGCTGCTTAGTTTTCGCCAACGAAGGCATAATTCGAATTTTACCCCAAGGTCAAAATAATTCTACTATTTCCTTGCCAGGCTTACATTTCGCAGGAAATGCTTCACAGCATTGGTTTTTGCAAAGTTTAATCTCTCAATAATTTTGTGCCGAGTTTAATCAACTACATATACACTTTTAAAGCTCCAGTCTGCTCCATCAGTTTATTGCATTACCCACTTTTCAGAAAGAAATTGAAGGAAATTGAGCTCAAGAACAAAACTTTGAGGATAAAAGACCCAATTTCGACATCTTTACACCGTTGAAAGGCCAAGAATAACCTGAATCAAAGAATGAAAACGACTTTTACATGAATATATTCATGACTCGAGTTTGGATAACAGTCAAAAGGTCTCTATTTTGCAGTAGAAAACATTAGAACTTGCTTTTTGCGTTAGAAGCTGTCGCTGATGAAGTAAACCCATGTTCTGGAGAATTTTGAAGACGATTTTTCTGTGGATAAAAGCAATCGCCAGCGAAATCTGAGAAGGATTTTGGTATTCTGATGCATGCCCTCTTAGCCTGGAGCCTGAGCATTTCTTTTGCCGGAATATTTCAATATTTTATCGGTTATCAATATATCAGTTTATTAGGAGCTGTTAATCTGATCTATACACAAGTTTTAGGCCGAAGGTCTATTTTAGATTAAGAATCAACTTATAATCTAACTTATCTTGGACTCGTAAACCAAAGCTATCAAGTAGCTCATGATGTTGGCTGCAGCGGCTGATGACTTTCCCCTCAGCAAATTTACACAAAATAGCAGTTCTTGCAGGGATTCATGCAAATCGCTCAAATGCTCACTGAACCCGTTCGAAAGCACTTCACGATCTGAACACACGTTCAAAATAAGTGGGTGCTATAATGAAAAGGTGTACCTGGTATGGAGACAGGCAGTGCTCGAACAAGTGAATATTCCATTGGTGTAGGGGAAAGCTTTTTCAAACGCTCACATATGAAACAAATCGTGGTAAGGCGCTTTTTTCGCTGAATTGAGAATAATTTCGAATATTTAAATTTGTGTTAAATAGTCACATTTGGTAATGTTCAACAGCTTTTGTCAGCTCATCTGTATAAAATGAACAATCTTTAGCTATAGCTCGAGCAGCATCATCGAGAAGGTTCAGAGTAAGAAATGTAGAACTGATTAGCGAAACCTGGAAAGCACAAATAAGAAGGATACCGTATTCAGCTTCTGCTTAGGACCTACTTTATCTTCCACAGTAGTTTTACATGACATATCTTTATCGATAATGGAAACAAGCCCATCTATAAAATCAGTTGTTGCCACCACCCTTTGAATAGAGAGAAAGCCTGGAGCAAGATCTTGTTTGGCAGGTATTCGAGTTTGGTTCTGAAAATACTGTAAATCAAATAACTTTCCCGTATTTTCAAGGTCCTCTTACAGCGCTGCTTTTTCTGGCCAGCGTACGATCAGCAATAAGACTTTTTAGAGAAAAATCACCAACTGCATCATAAGCGGAATCTGTCAGAGTTTGCACATCATTTTCCAAAGCGTTCAGCTCATTCAAAAGCTTCCTAAAAATTTTTTAGAGTACTAAGCCGCCCATGGACTACTAAATTTTTACCTAGAATGGCTGGGCAACTGCAGAGTCCAGTCATCACCATCATTTCTACCCGATAATGTTCTTCTTAGGCTCTTCTTCTTGGACAACAGCGATTTTTGGCCACGAAGCTTTTCCCGCACTTCCTCCCTAATAGGTCGGACAACTGTAACTGCTTCTTTTAGTGCTAAATATCATATTTCTAAGCATGTACTTACAATCAGGGTTCATGCCAACGAGCAAACATTTCCGGAATCGACAATATCGACAAGCGTTGCGCTCGACTAGAACAAACATTTGAATCAAAGAACTATGAAAGTGTTGTGGTAATTTAGTAGAACGTTTTATAAACTCTTAATTTATAGAATCAATAGAGAAGAATGTTTGTATGAACTTCATATAGGGATGAGTGAATTTATAACATATAAAACAGTTGGAAAAAATGGTGTTATAGTTTCCCTTTCATACGTATAAAAAACTTCCATTAAATTTAGAGCAAGCCAAAAAAGCTCAAATAATAATATTCTTTTCCAGCCAGAGATAAAATGTTGTCTTTAAGGAGGCCAAAAATTTTCTAGAATCACTTACACTTTGTAACTTCGCAGTTCTTGTCGAATGTGCATACGTACTTGTTCCGTCCATCTTTGACAGCTCGACGAAATAATCCCTTACAGCCAAAACATGCTAGTACACCGTAGTGGATCTGAAAAAAAATTTATGTCAGATATATTGCTAGATTTTTAGGATTTACACCATTATTCGCGTCTTCAGTTTATGTCAACTTCCTGCTTTTCACTTGAATCTTTATGTATGAAACGTGACAAATATTGTTATGGCCATTTGATAAGTGGGAGGTTGGAACTCTATTTCAAAAAACTGTTTCATCACCATGTAGAATAAGTTTAATGGAGAAAATCGCTATTTTCTTGTAATTTTTGTAGATGAAATTCCACCTTTTCAGAGTTACAAGCGTTTAAAAATCTAAAAAGCGTTTAATCTACAGAAACTCTCCAAGGTACTAAAATCCAAATAATATGTACCCTCGCTGCCCGAAATTTTGGTCCTATCTGACTGCTAATGGCGTACGGTGCCCATTTTTAGAAGACCTTAGCAGCTACGTTACTCACCTTAGCAGGGTAGTCTCCACAAACAGCGCATCTCCTTTGTCCTGCGCTGTTTATCATGGTTTCTTGAGCCCTTTTTGAGACGATTTATCTGAAAGTACGAATTATCTGGAAAGAATCCAGCTGGAAATCGATTCGACAATCGGTAACGGTCGATCAACAACTTGTGGCGAGGGACGAGGGATGGCAGAGAGTGAGGTGAATAGGAGGGTGACGAGTGATTGGGCAAAGCGCACTTCGGCAGCACCAGTCTCTGGGATGACATAGAGCATTTTTATTCTGTACTTTATGCATAGTACTGTCCTTAACATTTATGCAGAAATAAAAATTTAAACTTATATTTTCAAAACGGAATCTCAAGACTACTGCTACTTGCGCAGAATGTATATTCTCACCATATCAGCTCGAATATTGATTGTGAAAAATATATAGATGATTGATACCGATGGAATCGACCGAGTATGTATACCGAGAGGATTATTTGCACGCCATGACATGAACCTGTTGCCCTGGCCGCGACTGACAAAAAATTTTCGCTATGCTATTAACAAACAATTGTTTGGTTAACGCACACCGTGATTGTTATGTAACCGCACTGCACAAAGTGATGCTCCCCGGAAGACACTGTGGCGGGGCTGGAACGACTGTATTTGGGTGCTAAAGCGATTTTGTTGGCAAGTGGGCATTGCTTGAATAGACCAATGTAACCCTCACTCATGGGACCATTACACAATGTCTTCATAGCCTGCTAAGTCTCTATTTTCTTCGAAATGATGCAGGAGAAAGATTTTCCAGCCCGAGCACGCATGAATAGGATCAATCGCTTCTATGTCTTCCTCTTATTTTCACTTGTGAATGATAATCAAAGTGAAGCTTGGAGTTTGAGGGTTTACTGAAAGGGCAGAGCCCTTGATTGCAATGATTAATAGTATGCCGATAACCCCGTTGTGCAATGTACAGACACACTGAGATATTGACCACTCAAGCCATCAATACTTATATAATGTTTGACTTAGCCACTTTGTATGTTTGATCGAAAAGGTGTTAATAAGCCTTTTTGTTCGGTACACAAGGATTGCCCCTAGTTATTAATCAATTTTTAACATTTTTTCCCAAAATTTTTTATGTTTGATCGAGATATATAGAAGGAGTCGTGAATTTGAACCAAATTTTGCATACATAATGCATGAGGTAGGCAATTAGTAAGCCATTTTGTTTAAAACATACTTATCGCTTCCATCAATTTATTGAATTTCTGCAGATTTTGCCTAGAAATTCTTTTATGATCGCCCAAAAAAAGATAGAAGGAGTCATGGGATCTAAGCCAAGTCTTGCAGACATATATGAGATGGGACGTGTCTTAGTAAGTCATTTTAATTGATGCGTACTAGATCCTATCGACTTACTGATTTTTTGCAATGTGTGGAATAACCGTGCTCAGAATGTTGAATTACAATAAATTGATAAGACCGATATTATGGCTCAGTTTTCTTCCTGCGTAGGTTATGAATCGAAGCAATCCGTGCGAAACAACAAATTTTTGCGAATTTTCACATTTTTCTATAGAGTGAAAAGAAAGCTTTACGAGGCAGCGAAGCTGCCGAGTAGCAGCCGAGCCTGCGGCGTAGCGGCAGAAGCACACACCCCGTTTTGGTTTTGGTTTTACACCGTTTTGGCGTTTTGCCACACCTCAACACTTTTGCACAAAGATTTTTTGCGAATACTCACTCCATCAATGATTCGATAGCTTGAATTGGTTTTTAGCGAATATAATTTGAACTAGATTTGTCTTTATTCACTGGGTAATGATTGCTGGAAGCGTAACCACTGAAGACAAGAATTAGGTTTTAGCTGGGTCCTATTATCACAATTAGGAGCCTATGCTATTTGAAGTATGTTCCTCAATGAAAGCCAAAAGGGGTAGTACTCTATTTGTGAAAAGAGGTAAATAACTCATTATCAAAACAAAGTCAATTGTATAGCATGTACGACTCTTGATAAATCTCGGAATAGTTTATAAGTTGAGATTGATGTCTTGTAGCCAACGCTGAGATTGTTACAAACTTTATTGGCCAACGTTTCAGCTTTTCGCCTTCGTCAGGGCCTGAATGGGGTATCGATTCGTAACCCAGACGGGCAAATGTCTTTACGGCCTTACGAAAAAGGTCTAAGCCTTAATTTTGGCCAGTAGCTTTGCAACAGTTACTCACCACACAAACAACATTGGTAGAACAACCGCTGGGCTGACCGTATATGGAAGTACTAAATGGGAGGTCAGCATAGTTGGCTTAGATAAGGAGATAGTTCTCTCGTGGCCAGAGGTGCGATAGGGGGAGCCAAGTCTCCCCCTACCTTCCTTTTGAGCTGATACAGAGTGACCACCTTCACTTTTGCGAAAAAATTTTTGTTGAATATAAAGAAGGAAAATAAGTAAAACAAACGCAAAAGGGATTATTGAAGGCATATACATATGTATTGCAGTTTTAGGAACTCGCCGTCACCCATCGGAAGCGAAGGCCATCACCGCCATGGACGCATCCACTTTACCGCCTTTCCACGAAATCGGAGAAGATAGCTTCGGGACGAATTTCGATTTAAAAAGCTATGACCAAACGGTCCTCTTTAGGGCCAACAATTGACCCAACGGCCCTTTTTAGGGCCACAATTACGATGAACACAGCGGCATAAATATTCGAAATAAACGTGTCAATGAAATGGTGTATTTTGTGAAACTCAACGACACTCTACAGATTTTATTAAGTAAATTTAGTTATGTCGTACTGCGAAGAAAGTAGGTCGATCCAGGAAGTATTTGCCGAGAACCAGAATTTTGAATGAAAAAATAACCAGAAATCATGCAAAATTGCCACTGTTATAAACCAAGTGGTTGAAGATGTCAGCAACTGCGACTTCATAGGTTTTAAAGGGTAAGTGTTGCTCTAACAGACAGTGAAAGAATCGGGTCGATTTGAGCAGTGGTCGCTGAGAACGAGAATTTTGAAAAATTAGGCGATTTTAGGCTAATTTTTGACTGCTGACATTTGAACTCCTAAAACTCTTGATTGTGAAGATGTGTGATGTTGCGACTTCATAGGTTAGATTCCTCTCATCAAGGGCTTTCAGATGATATATAATATGTGGGAGTTTCGCGCCTCTTACGGCATATGCCCGGGGGGGGGGGAGACTTTTTAGGCCAAAGTCTCCCCTGGCGGCCTCCAGCCAATACATTAAAATGGGCGAGGGGGAGACTTTGGCCTAAAAAGTCTCCCCCCCCCCCCCGGTCATACGTCGAAGAAGGCCTCAAACCCCCATATATCATATATCATCTGAAAGCCCTTGATGAGAGGAATCTAACCTATGAAGTCGCAACATGATTCATGCAGTTCTGGAGAAGTTACGAGCTGTTGAAGTTCAAAAAGCTGTTTTTTACCTGCTTTTTCAAGAGCCTGGATCTCGGCGGTGCTTTGATGAATTGGTACGGGTAAGATATATTCTAGTAGGGCAAACCTTACCCTAGAAAACCTATAAAGTCGCAACATCACACATCTTCACAATCAAGAGTTTTAGGAGTTCAAATGTCAGCAGTCAAAAATTAGCCTAAAATCGCCTAATTTTTCAAAATTCTCGTTCTCAGCGACCACTGCTCAAATCGACCCGATTCTTTCACTGTCTGTTAGAGCAACACTTACCCTTTAAAACCTATGAAGTCGCAGTTGCTGACATCTTCAACCACTTGGTTTATAACAGTGGCAATTTTGCATGATTTCTGGTTATTTTTTCATTCAAAATTCTGGTTCTCGGCAAATACTTCCTGGATCGACCTACTTTCTTCGCAGTACGACATAACTAAATTTACTTAATAAAATCTGTAGAGTGTCGTTGAGTTTCACTTCAAAATACACCATTTCATTGACACGTTTATTTCGAATATTTATGCCGCTGTGTTCATCGTATCTGTGGCCCTAAAAAGGGCCGTTGGGTCAATTGTTGGCCCTAAAGAGGACCGTTGGGTTAGAGCTCTTCATTTATCCAAAGTCATCATGAAGCTTTGCTCTATCGGAGAAAGTGCTGAGGCGTATATGCGTCCATGTCGGTGATGGCCTCCAGGTGCCGCAGCGGGCGACGGCGACTTCCTAAAAGTAAACTACATAGAATATGCTCTCAATACTTTCTTTTGCGTTCGTTTTGCTTAATTTCCTTTTTTTCAGTTTCAGCAAAAAAAATCAAAACCCAAAAGTGAAGGCATTCGCGGCCGGCAACGACGTGAAAGGATAGCTCAGTTCTATGCTTCCCCCCCCTACCCTCCCCTCTATACCCCCGGTCAACGTTTTTGAGAGGTGAGTGTCCAGCATTACCACCCACTTTTGCTGGCCAGTGGTAGCCTGCGACCACCCCCCCCCCCCCCGGTCGACATTTTTGGGAGGTGAGTGTCCGGCACTACCACCTTCACTTTTGGCCGGCCAGTGGTAGCTGGAACCACCTTCACTTTTGGGGGGCCCGGCTCCACCTATCGCACCTCTGCTCGTGGCGAGGCATTCTTCTTTACGGTCAATTTTTGGGTTCCTAACATGAATCCACAATGCTTCTAGAAACTTGCGAGCAGCCGTCATAGGTTCACGTGCTAATATCTTTACGGTCACTTCAAAACTCGATCCTTCATGCCTTAGTACTCTGTGTGTTCCTAACGGAGTAGAAGTTCGCTGTTTGTCCCTGCCATCTAGGTGTTCTTTTATACGAATACATAGCGGACGTGCGGTTTCACCTACATACTCGTCTCCGCAGACGGTACAGGAAATGGAGTAGACCACCCCAGTTGACATGCAATCTCCGCTTTTACCTCCTGGACATATGACACAATTGTCCATAGTACAGCTGCTATCATACATGCGATATCTTACTAAAATGCGCTTCAGGTTGTTCGGTGGCACTTCTACTATCGACACCAAATCAACTAGTCCTACTATCTTAAGGCTTCTGCGCATTGCTGTACTTATCTCGGTGGAGATGAACGAAACGTAAAAAGGGATGTTTTCGTTGGGTCGGTCTCGCAAACTCTTTCC